GAAGCTAACAAAGATTCTTCCATCAGAATTCAGAAAGATCATCCTAAGAAACTCATAATAGGAGATCCTAACAGTGGAGTCACTACAAGATCTAGAGAAATCATCACAAACTCTTGCTTTGTGTCTAAGATTGAACCAAAAAATGTTAAAGAGGCTTTGACTGATGAATACTGGATTGGAGCATTGCAAGATGAATTGAACCAGTTCAAGCAACATGAAGTATGGGAGTTAGTTCCTAGACCATAAGGAACAAACATCACTGGCACAAAGTGGATCTACAAGAACAAGTCAGATGCTGAAGGAGTTGTCACCGGGAATAAGGCAAGGCTTGTTGCTCAAGGATACACTCAAGTTGAAGGGGTTGATTTTGATGAGACTTTTTCTCCTGTAGCCAGACTGGAATCAATCATACTTCTATTGGGAGTTGCTTGTCTCCTTAAGTTCAAGCTGTTTCAGATGGATGTGAAGAGTGCCTTCCTAAATGGGTACTTAAATGAGGAAGTATATGTAGAACATCCAAAAGGATTTGTGGATCCAAACTGTCCTGATCATGTCTACAAATTGAGGAAAGCTTTATATGGTCTGAAACAAGCTCCTAGAGCTTGGTATGACAGGTTGACAAAGTTCCTCACTGACAAAGGATACAGGAAAAGAGGTTCGGATAAAACTCTTTTTGTCAAGAATGAAGGAGGAAAGATAATTGTAGCTCAAATTTATGTTGATGACATAGTGTTTGGAGGAATGTCAGATAAAATGGTTAAACATTTTGCTAACCAGATGCAAGCTGAATTTGAAATGAGCCTCATGGGAGAATTGACCTACTTTCTTGGACTACAACTCACACAGATGGAAGACTCAATTTTTCTATCTCAAAGCAAATATGCAAAGAATATTGTCAAGAAGTTTGGGATGGAGAATGCCAGCCATAAAAGGACTCCTGCACCTACTCATTTAAAGTTGTCCAAAGACTCAAGTGGGGAAAATGTGGATTAAAGCTTGTACAGAAGCATGATAGGAAGTCTGCTATACTTAACAGCCAGCAGACCTGACATTGCCTTTGCAGTTGGAGTATGTGCAAGATACCAGGTTGAACCCAAAGTAAGTCACATCAACCAGGTGAAAAGAATTCTGAAGTATGTGAGTGGAACTTACAATTATGGCATGCTGTACTCTCATGGATGTGAACCAATTCTGTCTGGTTATTGTGATGTTGATTGGGCTGGTAGTGTTGATCATAGAAAGAGCACCTATGGAGGATGCTTCTTTTTGGGAAATAATCTTGTCTCTTGGTTCAGCAAGAAACAAAATTGTGTGTCTCTATCTACTGCTGAAGCTGAATACATAGCAGCTGGTAGCAGCTGTTCTCAAATGATCTGGATGAAATAGATGCTGACTGAGTATAATGTCACACAAGATGTCATGACATTGTACTGTGACAATTTGAGTACTATTAATATATCCAAGAATCCTATACAGCACAGCAGGACTAAGCATATTGACATTAGACATCACTTCATCAGAGATCTTGTGGAGGAAAAGGTGATTAAGCTAGAACATGTTGCTACTGAACTACAACTGGCTGACATTTTTACCAAGGCACTTGATGCTAGTCAGTTTGAGAATTTAAGGGGCAAGCTGGGTATTTGCCAATATGAAGAGATGTAGCAATTAATTTTACTTAATACAAGGGATGAAAGAGATATTTTAATCAAGTCTATTCTGATTGAGCTAATCATTTGTTTCCCTCTTTCTTTCCAAAAGTTTAAGAAGAGGAATAGACATACTTATATCTCCCTCTTCTCATTTTTCTGCAACATTCTCCATTCCCTCAAAAGAAGATTTCACACACGCTGTCACCTGTTTTCTCAGTCTCTCAAGATGTCTCAACAATCTGTGTCATCATCTTCATTAAAGGCAATTGCATCTTCCTCACCCACTGACACCGAACCTAGGGCAATCGTAAACTGCATGGATGCTGATGTTCTTGAGATAACTCCACTTCGTGAAATGGCAACTGATCCTACTAAGGTCAAGAAGCTGCGAACCAGACATGCAAGAAGATCACAAGCTTCTCCATCTGGTAAATCTTCTCAACCATCATCTTCTGTTCCTCCAGAGATAGCTAATAGGGAAGGTTTTTCTTATGTGCATCAAGCCCATACTAGTCACTAGGATTCTTAATGAGAATCACTCTGTTCCTGGCATATCTGTACCATTGAACCAAGAAACTGCTAGCCCTAATGTAGAAAGGGATCCCAATGTCACTCAGAATGTTGAGACACCTGATGACAACATTGGGAAAGCTCCAGAAAAACCTGATGATCACCAGACCCCTACTGACAAGGCTGTTGAACCTCCTGTCATTGATGTTGATGAAGAATTCTATGACAATGATTTAATTTCCAATATCAACCCTAGCATATCTAGAAGGATGATGAGTAGAAAAGAGAAGCAGAATGCTGCCCAAAGCCCCTCCAAAGAGAAGGCTACTGAAGTTGTTCATGAGAAAGCGAGGCCTGAGAACAAGGCTGAGAAGGATCAAAAAGATGGAACTTCGAAAGGGAAGGGTAAGGTAAAAGCTAGGGTATCTGTTGGTAGTCTCTCAAAACCCTTGAGACAACCTATAACCAAGAAAAGAAAGGCTCCTGAACCCTCTGAATCTGATGAGGAATCAGACTTTGAGTTTGATGTTGAGAGCAATGTTCCAGACATTCCTCTCAGGAAGAAACCCTCTTCTAGCAAACTGCCTAAGGTTCCCGAAGTTGCCATTGACAACATCTCATTTCACCATCCAGAAAATGCAAGCAGGTGGAAGTATGTGTTTCTGAAAAGGATTGCCTTGGAGAGGGAGCTGAACAGAAGTGCTATTGAGTGTAAGGAAGTTATGGATCTAATCAAGACTACTGGCCTGATGAAAATAGTGGTCAAGTTTTCCAACTGCTATGAGATTCTTGTCAAAGAATTCATAGTAAATTTGTATGGTGGTTGTGCTGATGGAAACTCAGCTGATTTTAAGAGTGTTTATGTGAGAGGAAGGAAGGTAAATTTCTCTCCTACTGTGATAAACAAATACCTAGGAAGGCCTGATGATGCTCAACCTGAGCTTGAAGTTACTGACAACCAGGTTTGTCAAACCATCACTGCCAAGCAAGTCAAGCACTGGCCCTTGAAAAGGAAGCTAAATGCAAGCAAGCTAAGTATGAAGTTTGCCATACTGCACAAAATTGGTGCAGCTAACTGGGTTCCCACTAACCACAAATCCACCATTTCCACAGGTTTGGGAAGATTTATCTATGCTGTTGGAACCAGAACAAACTTTAATTATGGAAACTACATCTTTGATCAAACATTGAAACATGCTGAGAGCTGTGTTATTAAAGTCCCTATTTATTTTCCCTCTCTCCTGTGTGGTATAATCATTGATCAGTATCCTGATATCCTGGTTGAAAAAGACTCTGTGTGCAAAAGAGCCCCTGCACTTAGTTTTCACTATAAGCTGTTTCAGGGAACACATGTCCCTGACATTGTTATGACACCTTCTGCGACATCAAATGTTAAAGCTCATTCCAAGAAAGTTGATGTTATCGTTTTTCTAAAAGAAACCTGCAGAGAGCTTGATGCAAGAAAAAGGACTCTTGAAGAGCTGATTGCTAGTCTGGAACAGGAGGAGAATGAAGAACAAATGAGGGAAGAGGATGCTGATGAAGAACAGCATCATGGTTCTGCAAGAAGCTCACCAGAAAATGCTGCTGAAAATAGTGCTTCCTCAGGGGATGACAGTACCTGAAGGTCTGTGTTTGCTGAGTTAAAAAGATTGATGCTGGAACCTGTTGCTGCTATTTGATACCTTCTCTCTATTTTTGTGTATTTTGAATTTCATTTTGGATAACTGTATAACTTCAAGTACTAGTACCTTTGGCCTCTTTATGGCTAAAAAGGGGGAGAAGAAATTGTGGTAATTTTGGTAGAATTAGATATTGGTAGCTGTTATTAAAAATTCTGCTGCATTCTAATCTCTGATTGTTTAGGGGTTTTAGCCAAAAATTTGCCAAAGAGGGAGTTTGTAAGTGTTTGTTTGTTGGCATTATTTTTTGGTAAAATCAGATTTGCGAATGTCATGACTGATGTCATAACATTCTGGGATAAAGGTACATTCTGCAGAAGGAATGTTCTACAGGAACTACTCAGTATGAGTGAATATCATGATCATTAAGTTATGATCATATGTACTGAATTCTACCAAAATCAGTGACTTAGATACATGATGTCATAACCAATGTTAAGACATCCTGTACTGATCAAGTTGTTGTGCAGATTTATTATTCCTGAGATTTTTCAGGAATCTGGTTTGCTACTCTGAGTTGAAGTATATTGTCCAGATCAGATGCTCACGTGGACATGAGGTTAACCTTGCTTAACCCTAATCTGTTATGATGAAAGCCCAAGACCAAGTCTTTAGGTTAACTTTGGTTAACCCTAGCTATTTTTATGGAAGCCCTAAATGAAGAATAGTCTGCTTATATATTTCTCACGAAGCCTAATGGTGTGCAGCGCTTTTGACAGAAGATCAATAAGGCATTGTATAGTTGTAACTACTGTGAGCCAAGCAATTACCAGTTTGATAAGTGACTTGGATTAGGATTTGGTTGTAAGGGTTTTTTATCACTCAAATCTTTGAAGCACGAGTGTTGTGTCTCTTGATTAAAGCTTTGAAGCAAAATCAAGCGTGTGTATTGAAGAATGTCTTCATAATCTTATTAATCAGTAGATTGTATCACTGCTATGATTGAGGGGGAGTGAGTAGGAACTCAGGTTTAAGTAGGACTTAGATTGAAGTTGCATTGGGTAGGTCTTAAGTGAAGGAGATAAACTGGTTGGTTTATTCCTAAGTTAATTCCTCTTATAGTGAATTTCCTCCCTGGCTTGGTAGCCCCCAGAGTAGGTGTTGTTATACACTGAACTGGGTTAACAATTGATTGTGTTCTTTACTAAATTTTAAATTACTGTTTTGTGTGTGTACAATTTGTCAGATACGGTGTCATAACATTCACTGTGACATTAAGTATCTGTTGCCAGAATTTCACATTGTCTTCTTCATAAATCCTGCAGTTGTTCACTAGTTCTGGAAATTTATGGATCCGCTGATACCCAATTTCCTTCTTGATTACTGAACGCATTTCATTTTCAAACTTCATACACTTTAAGAATTTAGCAGTCTCTTCGCTGTAATGAGGATAATAGTTCTTCAATTCCACGAACTTGGCAGCATAGTCAGCTACCGATAAATTCCCTTGTTTCAGTTCTAGATATTCGATCTCCTTCTTCGTATAAACATCCTCTGGGTAGTACTTCAATAGGAATTCTCTATGAAACACAACATGAGTATGGTCCATGATTCCTAAGGTACTAAAATTCAAAGGTTGTGTAAGGCATTTCCTAAACTTTAAGGACAAACCCCATGGCCAATATCTAACTTCACATGGATGCTCATAGAACCATCATCATTTTAAGCTTCATGACAAGCTCAAAGATCCTTTCTCCCAAACTTGCACCAACTTACCAATTCAACTTGTACACCCTGCAGAAAACCAAAAATGATATTCAATAAACTGCCATGCATCAGTTATGGACAGAAAACTGTAAATCAATATCTAAATTGGTCCAACCTTCGAATAAATTGTCCATGGACTACATCACATGATGAACACCAGCCCTACACTTGTTTGAAAACATAAAATAGAGAGAAAAAATTACAACATCCTCCGAAAAAATCTCATCCATCCGAATCTCTAACAGAAATGCAATCTAACAGCTCGGATTTACTTTCATGTAACTAACTTTCAGCAATAACATAATATAAAAGAGAAAACTCACCAGAATCATTTCATTCTTCAATTTCTGAGAATCACCATAACCTCCATCTTCATCTTATCTCTATTTTTTCTCTTTATAATTGTCACCTTCAACCTTCTTGAATCATCTTCAAGTAACTAAAACAACTTTGATCTTTCTTTCTGAACCTGCAGCATCATCGCACCTTCAACCTTCTTGAATAATCTTCAAGCAACTGCACTTCTTCTACTCCTCTCTCTCTCAAATATGCATTCACGATTCATTTCTCAAAAAATCACAAGAAAAAACTTCAAACTCTCTCGGATTTCCCTCTGCATAACACCTTTAATCTTCATAAATTGCTGCAAGAATCAACAATATCGTCACATAGCAACAACGCTCTATTCTTTGGAATTGCACAAGCACAATAACAATTCGCGTAGAAACAGAAAAGGTGAAGAAGAAGATCTCGAGCACGCCTACCTGAGTTTTCCTTCTGGTTTTCTCGTCTCCTGAGTAACATCGAAGGTGCACCAGACAATCTCTGGTAGAGAGATGTCAAAGATGAATCAGAGATGAGAGTCTGAGGTGAAGACGAACGAATTGTAAATGGAAGCGAACCGGTGCTCAGATTTATAGGAGAACCGCAACTAAGAACTCGATCTGAGATGAAGGTTGAGTCGTGAGTGCATTTGGATTCAACGAATATGATTCACGATCGTTGAAGCTGGAGATCAGCAGAGCAAATTGCGAGTCTGAATGTTGAAATGTGAGACGAACTTGAAGAGGAAATTGAAGTGCAAGACGGACGAAGACGATCAGAGAGGAGTAGAATTTGCTGTTGTATCTCGTGAGAAAGAAGAAGGTCTCATGGAGCTTGAACCATCATTAACCAACCAACCCTAATTTCATGCTTAATCCTCTTTCAATTTTATTTTATTTGTTTCTTTTCTTTTCATTTTAATTTCATTAATTCTATAATAGTTAGTAATAAAAAATCTGAATATACAAAGGCTGGATTGTTATGATGGACCGAACCTCTGCATTTAAGCCTAATGAACATGTTTTTTTGGAGCCTGAAGCCAATTAAACAAAACAAAAACTAGATTTTGGACTCTCTGAAATGGGCCTTGCACCTAGAGCAATTTACTGCACCATAGCTCCAGTTTCAGGCTTACACCCCCTGATCATCCTATGCTTCTTGTTAGATTTAGGCTTTTTCTATGATAAAAAATGATAAAATCAATAAAAAATTGTTATATTTTATTATTTGATTTTAGGAATTAATTCCTGATTATCCAATTACTCGAGACTTGCGATTCAACTTTGCTTGTTGAGATTTGAGTCTTGTGTAGGTTTATTGCATGATATATAGATATGTTCGAGATCCCGATTGTGATTTATTTTCACATTGACGATGCTTCGACGCTTATTTCGAGCCTTTGATTTCCGAATCTTTTATATTGCTTGGCAAAGCTTGATCAAAGTTTTAAGGGTTTCTCTGCTTCGCTTGCTGCACGAGGAACTCTTGTTCGTTTGTTATTTTCTCTCGTTTATCTCATTTCAGCATTTTACTGCTTTCTAGATATCATGAGAAGTAGGAATTTTGCTGATTTCTAAATATCATGAGAAGTAGGAAATAAAGTGTGTGCGCTTGAAGTCGCTGTTTAAAGTCCTATAGCAGGGACCTCTTTCTGTATGCTAGTTGTGGTTGTTTAAAGTCTTATCTTTGAATAGGGAATTCTGCATGTGTGTTTATTTTCTTGCATGTCTTGTGTTGTTATCAATGATGAGTTTAATACTTGGTCTTGGATTCATTCTCGATGATGAGTTTGTTCCAAGTGGATTCGGTTTATATTGCCATTGTTTTGTGTCGTTCTCGATGATGAGTTCAGTACTTAGTCTTGGATTCATTCTCGATGATGAGTTTGTTCCAAGTGGATTCAATTTACATCACTTTTTGTCATTTTACAATTATGTCAAAAATACCAAGAAAGAAATATTAATAATGTGCGCTTGGTTCATACCCGGATGGGATGTTTCCTTTGAGGCTTGGTTTGGTTAACTCTTGATGATGAGTTTGCTCCCTCTTTATTACTTGTTGCTCAATGTAGTACGATGGGAGAACTGACTTGGTTGTTTTTCATTTGATTGCAATTGTTGCGGATAGCTAGAGTCGCCACTGACTTTTCTTTTATCCAATAAGGAAAGAGTAAAAAGAACAGGAAAGACCTTTGAGATGTTTTCTTGAGTTCGGGGGGTAGATTATGAAAAGGGAAGGTGTTAGCACCCTTTTCATCCATAGTTATCTATGGTTTCTTAGTTGCTTGCTAGATCACTTTTTGAAATTGCTTTGTTTGAAATGTGTTTGTGGTGGATTTTGAAAGTATTTTTGAAAAGCGCCTTCGTTTAGGCAAACTTTGTAATGATTCTCGTCTCTATAAGAATGCATACGAAGTGTTGGACTTTTGAAAATATTTCATGTTTTAAAAGTGTTTAGTGTGTTTGAAAAGATGTTTGAAGATGTCATTTTTTGTGTATAAAGTGAAAGCTTGCGACTGAACGCGCATTTAGATTAACTGAAAAACTACCCTGCCCCAAGTTTTGATTAAAGGTTTCAATTTGTGTGAAAAAGAAAACTCCTACTTCTTTGGCTCAAAGGGGTTGACTAGGGATCATCTTCCTTATAACTCCAGTGTTTTGGGATTGAAAGAACACATGTACATCATCAGCAAGGTCTGTCTAAAAGCATACTGTATGAGATTATGGTATTGTTTTCGTCATCCTCCCTCTAAAGACTTACAACTTTTAACGAGAGTTGAATATCACAAAAAGGGAGTAAGAAGCATAGTTTAAATATAGTGAAAATGAATGGATTAATTCAAGACAAACATATTCAATACATTAATGAAACAAAGTTTGACATAATAGATAAGTGTTCAAACAAACAAAAGAAATTACAATTGAAAATTCAAAATGAACTGGATGGTCTCAATGATTTGGAAAGGGAGCGGTGATCACGTTGGGAGTCTCGGGAGGGCTGAATTCAATCTCCTTGGCGTCATTCATGTTTTGAATCTTGTATTTCAGCGCCCAACAATCATTAGTGTCATGCTCAGGACTGCCGGAATGATAGGCACATATTGCATCAGGATTTTAGTTAGGAGAAGAAGTTTTGGGGTTTGGATGAGGTCCTATCAACGTAATCAGATTCATCCCTAACATGTATTGCAATGCTTGAGACATTGGCATGTTGATTTTGGTAAACTGTCTCATAGGCTCTTCTTGTCTTTTATTGGTTTCCCCATTGTTGTTGTCGCGTCAATGCAGGATTAGAGATCAGGATTGCCCCCACAGATTGGTCATGGTTACTCTTGTTATGACCCTTTTATTCATACACAACATTGGACTATTTCTTCCCATTGTATGTCTTCTTCTGAGTATCGGAGGATGTAGCTCCTTGGATCTTTCCACTTCTGATTCCATTTTCAACTCGTTCCCCAGTTAGAATCAGCTCGGTGAACCCGGTCGAGGAGCTTCCAATTAGGTGATTGAAGAAAGGTCCTATCAAAGTTCCCATAAAGATATCAATCAGATCCCAGTCAGTTAAGTGTGGTTGCACCCTACCAACCAGGACTCTCCACTTTTGGGCGTATTCTTTGAAGCCCTCGTTGGAACCCATGGTCATATTCTGAAACTATATACGAGTTGGTGCAAGGTCAGCGTCGTATTGGTACTGCTTGTAGAAAGAGGCATATAGATCCTCTTAGGTGTGGATGCGGGAACCCTCCAATTGATAGAACCATTCTAATTGAGTCCCAGCTATACTCTCTTGGAAGAAATGGACCCAGAGCTGTTTGTCAATAGTGTGCGGCTGAATCTTACGGACATAAGATCTCAGATGCATTTTAGGACAAGAGACCCCGTCATACTTAGAAAAGATAGGGATCTTGAATTTGTGGGGAATGACCACCCCAGGAATCAAACCCAAGTCTCCAAAGTCCAAGCCAGGCACAGTTTGGATCTCCACAGCCTTTAGTCTGTCTTCAAGCTATTTGTATTTTTCATTCGCCGGTGGATACTGCTCCTCAGAATAGTCTTCATCCTCAGTAGATTGGTTATCCCTAGCTATAGTGCTTCTAGCGTCCTCTTCTTGATTATCTTCTTCATAAGAAGAAGCATCTTCTTTTTGAGCTAGTTGGGAAGGCCCCTTGAAGTTTCCTTCTGTATTAAGGATGACAAACTTCTTCTTCTTCTTGCTCCCTTTGGTGAAGAGTGCTTTCAGATCTTCCTGCCCCTTGGCTAAGTTCAGGAACATTTGTTGGATCTGGACATTATGAGCTTGGAGATCTTTAATTGTTTGCTCTAGAGCCATCTCTACTGAAATAAACAGTAAGTAGATGTGAAAATATGTATGGGGAAAACCTGTCATGATATGATACATGGTATGTGGATGAAATGTTTTCAAGGATCTCGTAGGGTAAACATAAAAAAATGTCAGAAGCTGAACTTCAACTGCAGCCTTGATTGAAGAACTTCGTATCATTGAAATTTACTTCTACGAGAATCAAGCTTACCATATCAGGTGGGTCATAGCCCTTGACTCAAGTTATCGTGCTTTGGTCTTTGACAACATTTGGTTAGAGGAGAATAAATCCTCTTTCCCCTTGATAAACGTCTGGTTCAACATAAACCTGCATCACAGACCCTTGAGACCCTTGAAATGGTTATTGAAAATGAAGAAGTGAAAAACACAAGAATGGGGGGATGAATTGAAAAACTTGAAATCAAATGCACAATGACACAGAATTTTTATCCTGGTTCGTTTGATCTCAAACTACTCCAGTCCACCCGTCAAGGTGATTTCGCATCTCTCCAACGAGGTCTTAATCCACTAATCTCAAAAATATTACAATCACTACTTTGACAACTGTCAAAGTCCTCTTGGGTACAACCATAATTCGGTTAATCTCAAGGAACACTGTCTTAAAGATACAAGAATATGTGTACAGATGTTTTTTGTTACAAAAATACTTATCACAACTGTGATATTTTACACAAAATTAGAGCGTGGAATAGATGAGTAAGCTTGCAGCATTTTTGAATTCTCGTGTTGTAGTATTGGCAAATCATGAACAATTTGATCACTGAGCTTGTTTATATAGGCAATGGATTCATGTTGAATATTAAGCGTGATAAATGTCATTAACTCAGTTTCCATTTGGAGAAGATCCTGTCTGAATGAAGCCGTTGTAATTGAGGCTGTCTTGAATGAGTAGTAACACTTCAGAATCTTACATCCTTGCTTGCTGCTGATGTTTCAGAACATTGATGACTTAGATTATTATGCTCTTGTTCAGAATCAGAGTTTACTTCACTTAAGCGCAGGTTCTGGTCATCAATCTTCAGCGCAAATTCTGATTACTTCAGCGTGTAGCTTCTATAGCTTAACTTCTGATGCTGCTTTGGTCAGAACTTCTGTATACACAGTAACATAATTTTTAGGGTGCATATTTGTTCTTTGTATTTGTTATCATAAAAAATCTAACTAATGGTTATAGAATCAAACTATGTTCTAACAGAAAATGCTATGGTATGATGTCATGATGTTATATACAAATAAACATATACACTCAAAGCAAACAAGTCATTATTTACAAACAAAGCAAGCAAATTCTTAGGTTTAAGCTTGCATGGGGTTTATAGGTAAGTACCCTCTTGAAGTTTAGTTGTTTCAACCTATCCTAGAAAGTAACCTAGTTCTAGGGGATCTCAATATCATTGATCTTTATTCACCGGGCATTTGTTTCAGTGCAAGCCTCTTTATTGGCGACTGAAATATCCTGAAAGTCTGGTCTCAATGAGCGTAGTATCGAGTATTAACCAATCTTCGCTCGTAACTAAATATGTCTATCTCACTACTTCCTAATGGCAAAATTGTTCAATTAAAGGCTCTAAGGTCAGTTAGTGCTTCATGACACCACACAGCGGCCCCGTGTTCTCCATGACTAAACTCAAGGGCTACTGGTACCAACAAATGTGTCACACTAACATAGCCATCGT